GCTTCCTATGAATATGTTCCCCATTTCCCTTTCTCTTGCCTGTCTTCTACTTGCTTCCTGCTTCCCCTTTGTGTTGATCATCCTGAGAGCTTTTCTGGCCAGCACATTAGCCTTTTCTTTTCTTTAGAAAAAGGATCAGCTGCAGGATTCCACACAAAAATCTCAACAAAACACAAACCATAAAAATTGGTGTGAAGGCCAGGCGCAGGTGGATCACACCTGTAATCCTAGCTACTCAGGAGGCTGAGATCTGAGGATTGCGATTCAAAGCCAGCCCAGCCATGAAAGTCCATGAGACTCTTATCTCCAATAAACCACTCAAAAGTGGCGCTGTGGCTCAAGGGGTAGAGCACTAACCTTAAGAGCTGAGGGACAGTGCCCAGGCCCAGAGTTCAAGCCCCATGACCGACCAAAAAACAAAAAATTGATGTGAAAAGTCCTAGAAAGTTTAGAAGAGGGGCAAGTACAGAAAGTGTCTTTTATAACGAAATAGTACCTGAGGAAATAAAAGAGATTTGATAGGAAAGAAAGCTACACTAAACATTTACATATAAAAAGCATATGTAAATATGTATTAATATATTCAAACCATATACAAATTGAGTGGGTAGATAAATAATATGAAACCAGTTAAGCTAACTGGCTTATGACAATGGAAGACAAGCATGGAATGGAGTAGGGCCAGGTAGCCAAGTCCTGCCCTCCATGTATGTCAGAAACAACTCGCATTCTTTTGCTGTTTCAGTAGGCTCCCCAAATAACACTCAAAACACTTGACCTGGGAAGGGGTCAAAAGATTTCTGCCAGCATCTGTAAATGTGAGTCAGAGGTCCAATGCAGCCCACAACTGTTTTCCACTTTGGATGAGTTTGGAATAATGTAGTTAAAGGATGTAAGAGATGAATGTCTCCAATAGGTTTTCAGAAATAAGTACTATAATCCTGTTTTGTTGGAGGCAGAGTTCCTTCTATCCTCTGGACTCCATTATTAACAAAAGATTACTACTTATTCTTTAGGAAATAACATGGTTACATCTATGACAAGTTAATGATCACCATATATCCAGAAGAAAAGCTCTAATTTTTCTATCTCATTTCTTTGGAATATGATTTCCCTTGATGTCAAAGTATCATTAAGACAGGTGGTGAATTTATAAAGGATTTGAAACTGGAAATGGTTTAAAATTGTGACTGCAATTAAGTATTCTAAGTACACCAGAATGGGGAGCAGAAGAAACCTGTGGTTTATAGCTACTTCTGGAAATATATGTTCATATATAAAAAATAAATCAATTAAAAATGATTCATTTGGTCAATGAATGTAAATTATATACTCTCTAGTGCCTACTAAATACAACAATGCAATCAGACTTGTGAGACTGTTCTATTTATAATATTCTATATGTTGTACCATCAGTTGTACCTAAGTTATTTTGGCCAAATATTGTTTTTTGAAATAAAGTCTCTCTGTGAAGCATACATTAGCTGAGAACTTGCCCTCCTCCTGTCTCAGTCTCCTGAGTGATTATAGGTGTGTCACCTCCTTGATTTACATATATATTTTTTGTAGGTGGCAGGGTTTGAATTCAAGGACTTGTGCAGGTACTCTACCACTTGAGCCAGGCAGCCAGCCCAGCTTTTTGCTGGTTAGTCTTTGGAGACATAGTCACATTGGCTTTCCTGTCCAGGTCAGCTTTAACTTTGATCTTCCAGATCTCAGCCTCCTGAGTACCTAATATTACAGGTGTAAGCCAGTGATACCTAGCTTGGCAATATTCTCTACTGGTGAGGAACAGGCCAATGGTAACAATTTTGACTACTCAACAATTTTGCACTGGTTAACTTAAGCTTCTACAGAGAAGGCACACAATTTTTGGAGAAGAGCTCATATAGATGTAGCTCACACTTAACCTAGTACTATGTGACAACCACCATTCTAAACATGTTACATACAATAATCCTCAAAGCAAGCAGTTTAGGAGGAATACTAATAACAGGGAGTTAACTTAGCCATTACTCAGCAATCATCAGTTTTTATCTAAAATGTCCACATGTAGCCAGAATACCTAAACATAGATAAAACAAAAATAAATTTCCTACAACTTTTTCATACATAATACTAACTTTTTAGCTATACATAGAGACAAATGTTGTTCCCTTTTCAGTGACGCATGCCCAATTGCCTCAAATTTTATCTGTGAGTAAAGTTCAGAAAGAAAAATAAATTAGTATGTTTCTGGATATAGCTAGCTTGTTTACCTAGAAGCAGTGTGCTGAATTAGGCCACAAAAATCTAAATGGACAATGGACTTCTACTATTCTACTGGACTTAAAAAGCCTTTCATTAGCACTACTCAGAAAGTATCTTAAAAGGTAAAAAAAAAAAAAAAGAAAAGCAAAATAAGGGAAAGTCAAAAATCTTAAGAATTCTTCCATTTGAAGAAAGGATGGAGAGCCTGTGTTCAGACCCAAGGAGGAATTACAGAACCAATGTAAATAAAATTAACACAGAATTTTCTGAGAAAGGAGTAAGATTCCTCTGAAAATAATACTGTTATTTTCATTGTAGCTTATATGATGCCTTTGGATACCCCACGATTTTATTTTGTAGAAAACTATTCAGAAAATGCTAATATGAAGACAAAACATGTGTTGCTCTTAATGTCATTTATAAGCTATACTTGGCTTAATAGCTATTGCTGTAGGAAAGACTACAGAAGTACCTAAGTCTCTATACATCCTTCAGGATAACTTTGTAGGCCCTCATCATTTCATGACTGACATTGATATTCCACTTCTTATTCTCCAATCCATTTTCATAGGCACTGATCAAAGTAATGAAAAACCTTCAGCTTTTTAGTTCATCATGACTCATAGGAAAACGTTCAAACTCCTTAGAAGTGCACATCGATCCTGTGTAGTATTCTCCTGATGATCCAGCCAGGTGCAGGTAACTCCCCTCACAAGCTGCATCCTGTCCCCCAACCAAACACTAGCTCTCATGCACCTCCATCTCTGGTGGTCATATCCCAAACTATCTGTGTGTCTTAGCCCCTGCAGGTGCAGCCAGATGTGGTGCTCACTTCCTCGCACTGCCATACACTTTCTAGGATACCTTTCCCTGTATTACTCAGACTAAACTCATCCTTTATTTACACTTTTGGGACACTTTCCTGACATCCTCACCCTTGAAAGGATCGGAAGCTTTTTGGGCACCGTACTGTGCTCCCTCATCAAACTAATGGACTGCTTTATCACTTTTCAGCTGAGTGACCTTAGACAAATTCACTAAATTTCACTGAGCCTATTTCTATGTATCTCACAGTTAGCATTAATTTCCTATCACAGTGAAACCATGTCAAAAATTCCTTTTTCTAGAGGTACCATGCAAGCATTAATTTTTTTTAATCATGAAAGAGCACACTGTTTTTAACTTAACCTAAAAGACTTATCTCTTAGTTTCCAGTCCCTTTTTCAAGCATGTTCTGCATTATCCTACTCTTTGGTTTCATCTGCTTCGAAGTCCATCTGCTTCTACAGGGGAAAAATAGTCTACAGTGATGCTTAGACCATTTCAAGAAAAAACAAAGTGGGTGGGAAGCCCCTGAAAGATGAAGATTTTTCTTCTTCCCACCTTTCCAAATACCTTCACAGGAATCTTGCATAAACACAAACCATTACTCAGTAAATCCAAAAGAAGTAAATGAATACAAGCATAACCTGTATTTAGTAAACTTAGAGTCATGTAACAGATTCCATATTAATTTGGCCTTTAAAAGCTTCAAATGCCTCTGGTGTCATCTTCAAGTGCAGCAAGAAACTTCCTGCTATGTTTATTTTATTTTATTTTCTGATTTGGCATATAGTATAATTGATAGGAACTCATGGTAAACGTCTTGAAAGTTTTCACATTATCAGAATCAACAGTGCAATTAAATCCCGAGGCGTTATTAAATACCTACTGTATTAGACCTTGTGACGGTACAAAGGTACAAGTTGATGGACTCTTGTCCATAAGCCACAAAACATACTGAAGGGCATCTAAGCCATCAGTACATATAATTACTAGTGAGATGAATGGTCATGATGATCACCAAAGACACCTGAGTTAGCGCAGGGGTTCGCAAAATTAATACTGCATATTATGAACTATCAGTGGCCAACAGCTTGCTATTATTGAGTATCTACTATATGCGATCACAGGTAGTTCCATCCCCTGTCTCCTTCCTCTCATTACAAACCTAACTGTGCTGTTGTCTAAGGACTATCCGCCACACTTGTATCACATACATGGGCCAAGCACTGTTCCAAGACCGTTAGGTGTATGTTTCTCATTTACAATACCGCTATTGTATAGATGAGAAACCGGAGGTGCAGGGCTTGTCATTTTTCAAGGTCAAGAAGCAAAAAGGAACAGGTCAATGAGGATCTAAGAAGCACCCCGCCAAGGGCGCGCGGATCCGCTCTGGGCTTGCGGGAACGCACCGGCCGGAACCGCCGGGGCTGCACTCCACCCCCCCCCCCCCCCCAGTCCCTAACTGGACTCTGGACTCCCCGGCAGCCGCCCTCAGTCCTTCCCACCGCAGAGGCCACGCGGGAGACTTCCATCACAGGTAGGTGTTCAGGGTAAACGGGAGCGAATCAGATTTCGAGGTGGCGGACCGGGCTCTGGTCGGATAACGAAAGGAAAACCTTTGGGATTGAGGGAGGGAGGTGGGGTGGGGTGGGTTTCGTTTCCAGGACCACCGCCCGCCAGGGGATGGCAGCCGCCATCGTCGTTCTCCCAGCACCCCCGCCCCCCCCCATCCCCACCCCCCGGCAGCCGTGGGTTGGGCCATCTGCTCCTCCACCCTCGCCCGCGGGCGCTCCCCGCACGCGCCTCTCCATCCAACCCCGACACCGCACCGCTCCAGGCCTCACGCGCCTCCCGGCCGAGTCCTACACCCAACTCGGCTGGCTGGCGGGGTCCTGGCAGGGGCGGCCCCGGCCCCGGCTACTTACGGTTCCAGTACACCGGGTAGCACTCTCCTTGGGTCACATCCACCTCGTAGAGGCCGCCTCGCACGCACACCGGCTCGATGTTCACCAGCTCCTCCATCTCGGGCTCGTGTCCCGCCGCCGCGCGCGGGCAGAAGCCGCAGGCGCGGTCCTCGTCGTCTTCCTCTCCGGAGCTGGAGGCCCGGCCGCACGCCGGGTCGCCATCCCGACTGTGCGCTCCGGGCCGGGCGCCCGAGGCCTGCAGTACGGTCCGGAAGGCGAGCTCGATGCGCAGGGAGTCGTAACCGATGAAGGGCTTCCAGGTCTTCTTGTCCTCCTTGTAGAACCAGCGCACCTCCTCCGGGCCCAGCTCCGTCACCACCTCGTAGCGGTGGCGGGCGGCCGGGCCGGCGGGCCGGGGACGCTTCCTCTCCCCGGAGCCCCCGCCCGCCGCGCTCCCGCCGCCGCCGCCCCCGCCGCCCCCCGACTCGGCCGGAGCGAGCGGGGCCGACGCGGGCGGGTGCAGGGACGACGAGCTGCCGCCGCCGCCGCCGCTCTCGCCCTCGCTGTAGTAGCGCAGCGAGGAGCCCGACTCGGCCGAGCTGAAGTCGTAGTTCTCGTCGCTGAAGCAGGCGTCCAGCGCCAGGTGGTTGAGATCCTCGGCGCCCGGCGCCAGGTGCAGGGCGGCCTCCCCGCGCAGCAGGGCCAGCGGCACGCTCCCGTCGCCCGGGTCCCCGCCGGGCAGGTGCTCGAAGCAGCAGATGCCGCCGCCGCCGCCGCCGCCGAACGCCGGCGCCGAGTCCGGACCCAGGTCCCAGGCGCCGCCGTCCCGGCCGTTATGCTCCGGACTCCGCGGGGATCCGCGGCCCGGATAATTCATGGTGTCGAGACGCCGCCGGCTGCCCGGCCGCGCGCCGAGCCGTGGCCCCCAGCGCTTCCGCCACACATCCAACGCCGCCGCCCTCTCCGCGGGGAGTTTTTAATCTTTTCAAATCCCGAACGGGGCTGCGGCGGCAGCGGCGGCGGCTCCGCCTCTCCCCGAGGCCCGCGGCCGCCGCAGCGGCGTTCTGGGACCCGCCCCATTGTCACGCACCCGACGTGGGCGGGGCTTGGTGTTCTGGCCACGCCCCCCTCGACCGCGCGCGCGTGCCCGCCCGTCACCCCGGAAACATCGTCTCTGCCGGCCCTGAGCGCGCGCGCAGACCCTTGCCCTTTATCCTCCGAGGGCCCGGGGTCGGCTCGGGTCAGAGGCCTACCTTGGCCTCCTCGACAACCTGCTGAGATCTTTCACGTGTCAGTTGTACTGCTGCTTCGGGAGTGGGGTGGGAGGGGGGGGCCCAGCTGGGGCGAGGCGTTCCCCCACGCATCCTTGCAATTTGGGTCATGAGCCCGCCGGCCTCCGCATCTGGAGGGGCTCAGAAAGTTGGCTTGCTCAAGTTCGTGACTTTGATACCGGTCTCACCTGGACCTACCGGGTCACCTGCTTTGTGTCTACTGAATTGTCGGCCCACACAAGCCACTCCACCCCAGGTCCACCCAGGCTCCCTTCTGTCATCACCCCCACGCAGCAACTGGACTTCCTTCCAGGGACTCTTCGTGTCATTGTTAGGGTTCAACGCTCCCATTTCCTGTTTTCTTTTTACTGTAAGGGCCTTGGTGGAAACAAGGTGCATATGCCTGGCCTTTTCCCCCCTTCAGTGGGTGCTCAAATCCATCTTCGTTGACTGCACACCCAGCCAAGTGTGAAAAGATGACTAGGTTGAAAGCCAGAAAATAATTCTAGACTCAACTTTGCTAACAATTCCAGGCAAGTCACCTAATCTTGGCTCGTTTGCTTCCTCATCTATAATATTATGAGATTATTGGAAGATGAGCTCTATAAAGTTCCTTTCAGTAGGGAAGCCTAGAATCTTGTAAAATTTCTAATAGTATTTTTTTTGTTTTTTAATTTTCAAGTGGCTTGGCTCAGGGCCTTTAGTAAGGCTTGCTGTGGCTGGTACGCAACACTTGATTCACGTTTCCAGCCCTTGCTGCAGATGGAGTCTCCTGGGCTAGCTTTGAACCTTGATCCTTCAGGTCTCAGCCTCCTGAGTACCTCGGATTATAAATTTGAGTCACCAGGACTTCTATTTTCTTCTAATGAATCTTTGATTCTATAATTCACTTTCTGGGATCAGGGTGAATGCCAAGGCATTGTAGTTATATTAAATAATATAAATATATTAATATTTTATGTTAGATAAAAGTTTTTATAAGCCTGTCGCTATGTTCAGATTTCAGAGAAAAACAATCATCTACGTCGGTTTTCCATTCAAAACAGCAATCATCAGTTTTACCTACTCCCTTTCTGGAATCAGGTCAGTAGGGCAAATATTCTTACTCCTGGGATGTAACCTGTCAGAGATCACTGTGAAGTTATTATTTAAATCAGGACCATCTCTAGTGTATAGGGTAATTCTTGCAGGAACTTGAAAAAAAGCATTGATTCTTGTGGGCAGATTTGGTTCATGGTGTGGCTAATGGAGCATGGACTAGATTTTCTGCTCCAGTTTGTGCCTTGGACTAGATAATCTCTTACAGTAAATAACCTACCCAATTGTATACAGTGACTGATGCATCTAAGACCAGACCACTTTTCCATTCATGATGCTTTCTGAGTATCTACATTCCAATTTCTCCAAGGTTTCAGTTAATAATATACAGAATATAATTAATGATATACAGAATATAATTGGCTATTATCTTTGAGCTATTTACTACTCAAGAAAACATTAATTCCATAGAATTTTGATAGTTGTCTACCTATGTGCTAGGGACCTCTATGCGAGCACTCTGTGTGTGTGTGTGTGTGTGTGTGTGTGTGTGTGTGTGTGTGCGCGCGCGCGCGCGCGCGCACATGTTGGTACTGGGGTTTGAACTCAGAACCTGGGTGCTGTCCCCTAGCTTTATTGCTCAAGGACAGCACTCAAGGATGGCACTGTATCATTTGAGCCACCAATCTACTTCTGGCTCTTTTGTTGATTAATTGGAGATAAGAGTCCTGCTTTCATTATATTTGATGTTGTTATAATTTGTGGAGGGGAAGGGCAAAAACAAACCATTTAAATAGGGATACAGGTGGACCCATTGCAACAATGAGATATACAAGTCATTATGTCGAAAAACGAACTTTACAACTTTGGAGGGGGGTGGAGATGCCAAGGGATGGGAAGGGGAAACAAAGGAGGAGGCAACAATGCTTGATACGAAATGTACTCATTACCTTACCCATGTAATTGTAACCCCTCTATAGTATTTCGCAATAAAAAATTAAAAAAAACCAGTACTATAAAATCTTATTTAAAAAAAAAGTCTTATGGCTTTTCTGGTAGAGCTTAGCCCCCCAGTAGCTAGGATTACAGGTGGGAGCCACTGGCACTCACCTGTGCTAGCTTTTGTATCAAAAGCTAGCACAGAGAATGGGAGTGAATAAATTTCTTCTACCGGGCTGGGAAGGTGGCTCAGTGGTAGAGTGATTGCCTTACATGCATGAGGCCCTGGGTTCAATTCCTCAGCACCACATAAGCAGAAAACGTGGTGGTGTGGCTCAAGTGGTAGAGTGCTAGCCTTGAGCTGAAGAGCTCAGGCCCAGAGTTCAGGCCCTACAACCACCAAAAAAAAAAAAAAAAAAAATTCTTCTACCTGCAGTTTAGTGGTAGATACAGATAAGTAAACATACATTACACACAGTGTGATAGAACAGAGATATCACTACATTCAAGATATTTTTCGCTCTCTTTTTTTTGAACTGAGGTTTGGACTCAAAGCCTTGTACTCTCTAGGAAGGTGCTATACCACTGGAGCCTTGAAATATCTGTTTCTTGATAGAACATAGCCAAACTATATGGGTGTCTAGCCAGTCTTTTAATGATGACACAATTCCTATTTAATGAATATTTTTCTCTGTTTAAAGAAAAGACTCCTTGCCTTATACTGAGTGACTATTTCCATTGTCTACTTATGTTGCTTATCTGGTTATTTTGAGATTATCTTCTTTTGGGCAGTGGATAGACCACACTGTTAAGTAGTATGATCTTTCTTGCAGGAGTTGATTCTCAGGTGTTGTAATCCACATGTTGTAAACCTTGCTGTTTTGGTCTGAACCTTTTTGAGGGGAGGAGATGTTAGTACTTGTGGGACTGGAACTTGCTGCTGTTCATTGGAAGTGAGCTCAGACTAGAAAGACAGCTAGTAAAAGGCCCCAGGCTGATAGCAACATACATTTGAAGGTATAATATCGAATTGCCTATGACTGCCTGTATTTATTTTCCTTTATTCCCTAGCCAAGTAATGCAAAGTGCAGGAAGAAGTTCTTCTCAACTTCAGTTTTAGCTTTAAAAAATGGAAGAGGAGAATTCAGTCATAAAATCAATAAATAGCCTACAGACTTAAGAAAAGTGAGAGCGTCTATAATCCTAGCTACTCAGGAGGCTGAGATCTGAGGACCACGGTTCAAAGCCAGCGCAGGCAAGAAACTCCGGGAGACTGGTATCTCCAATAAACCACTCAGAAAACTGGAAGTGGCACTGTGGCTCGTGGTAGAGCACTAGCCTTGAGCTGAAGAGCTGAGGGACATTGCCCAGGCCCAGAGTTCAAGCCCCACAACAGACCAAAAAAGAAGAAAAAAACGAAAGTAAGAGGAGGGGTGAGGTTGAGTGGGATGGGGAGAATTTGAAAGGGGTGACCTTGTCCAAGATGAATTTTACTCACAAACAGCTTTGTAAAATGGCAACTCCTTTGTATAGCTACTTAAAGATAAACAAAATATATTTTTTAAAGAAGTCATCCTTTCGTTGAAGCCTCCTGCTACTGCCATTCTTTTGCTTTGTAGAGCATCTTTTCAGGTTATACACTTCTAATAAAAGGAGAAGGGACTAAGTCTTCAATCTATTTCCCACCTACCAGAGCAGGTGTTGAGTAGTTCCTTCCCCTTTATTGATGTGCTGAGCAGATACAGATACACCATCAGAACGTCTGTAGCATTACACAAAGCAGTCTATGTATTTTATTTTTTACTTTTGGCTGTCATGGGACTTGAACTCTGGGCTTGGGTGCTATCCCTGCACTCTTCAGCTCAAGGTGAGGGCTCTACTGCTTGAGTCACAGCATCACTTCCGGTTTTCTGGTGGTTAATTAAAGAGTCTCACGGGCTTTCCTGCTTGGGCTGGCTTTGAACCATGATCCTCAGATCTCAGCCTTCTCAGTAGCTAGGATTACAGGTGTGAGCCACCAATGCCCGGCTCTATGTATTTTAATAACTATCCAAGACCAAGACTCTTTCACATTAGGAAATTATGCATGACAGATTCAGACTTCAGGCATTCCTTGGCCTGTGCTGTTATAGAAACCAGGTGGATGATTCTCAACCAAACCACAGGAGTTCTTGGCATGGGCAAGAGAAACAAGTAAAGCCAGCTGTTTGTAACTACAAAAGACAGGTAGCTCATCGGCATTTTCTATCATCTTCCCTTCTCCAATAGGCACCCAGCAAGGTCTCTGACAATAATGACTATGTTCCTCTCTCCCTCTCTCAGAAGTTACATAGTTTGGTTACTTGCCATCTTGTCTTTCCCTTCTCCCTTAAACCTTTTTTTTCCCTGATGTTCACACCTATAGAAAATGTTGAGTATAGCCTTATGCCATGTAACTTATTCTAAGCCAAAACCCCATGTTCATACTTGCAAAGGGTTTGCTCAGGGACCACACTGGAATGTGTGTGTTTAAAATGAACAAAAGAGGAAAGAACTGCAATCCCTCCATTTGCTACATGCCTGCTGGATAAGCTACCCACCTTGCTTTACTTTTTACTTTTTATTTTTTTGGGTTAGTATTTATCCCATTTCTTTAAATGCCAGTGTGCTTTTGATGCACTGACTAAATAGAACAGCAGTCTAGACTGGAAGAGGGAACATCCACTGGGTATACATTAGGTGTCTACCAGGTTTTAGGCATGCTGCTAGGGTCCACAGTGAAGCATTCACATGTAGTCGTACACT